TAGGGTTTAGGTTGACGGTTTAGGGTCGACTGGACCTGGGGTTTTGGGGCTTGGGGTTTTCGCGGGAACCCCATATTAAAACCCAAGAGCCCGTGCAAAACCCTTCTAACTTATGACCCCACTACAAACCATCATCCCCAAAAGAAACCGCCGAAGCACTCATGAAACCCTGGTCAAAACACCCCAAACCCCTAAACCCTAAACCCCTAAACCTCTAATTAAACCCCTAACATCCCTAAACCCCAAACCCCTAAACCTCCAATTAAACCCCTAACATCCCCAAAGCCTAAACCCTAAACCCCTAAACCTCCTAAACCCTAAACCCTAAACCCTAAACCCTATAACCCTAAACCATATAACTCTATAACCCTGAACCCCCCTCACAACGAAGGCCCGGGTCGCGGATATGCACCGGTCGGCGCTCGCAAGGAGTGCAGACCAGAGGCCTCGCTGCGCGCGTCTACTGGGTTCAGGGTTCAGGGTTTAGGGTTTAGGGTTCAGGGTGGTTTACGGTTTCCGGGATTTAGTTTAAGTTACCATAACAAAGAAACCCTAGTAGCTACTATAGATCCCTATTATGGCAACTTAAGTTAGAACCCTTCACAAGAACCCAGTCGTGGCAGGAGTGCGTCGGGGGGCGCTGTAAGGGTTTGGGGTTTGGGCTTTAGGGTTTCGAGTTTTGGGTTTTGGATTTAGAGCTTCGGGCTTAGTTTGGGGGTTAAAGTTTGGGGTTCAGGGTTTAAGGTTTAAGGCTGTCGGCTACGGCCCCAGGGACTTTCAGGAGGCTCGGGGGGTTTTGGGGCTTGATGCTTTGTGATAGGGAAGCTAGAAGATCTGGGTTTACAGTAGAGGCCTGTTGAGAATGGGGTTTTGGGGCACGTGACAAGCAAGGCTGAATGAAGGAACTCCAAATTAAAGAGGTAACCCCACATTAGGCTGCCTAGCGCGTTTTGGAGACTCGGGAAATGTAAGACACTGGGGATACAGTTTTCGGGGGTATGGGGGATGTAGGGCCTGGGGGATTGAAGTCGGCAATGTCGAGCTTTGCGATTTAAGGATTTGAGGCCGAGAGCAGCTGAAATTTCTGCTGGTTCAAGGCCTTTTACCCTCTGGGTTTTCAAATTTACAGCGAGGGCTTTACGGGCTTGCACTTAGGGTTTTAAGGATTCAGGGTTTGGGGTTTTGCTTTGAACATTCTGATTTCAACTCTTGCTCTTTCTACATGCATATATATATACAAAGTTACTATTATTATCACTACTACTACTACTAATACCACTACCATTACCACTACTACCACTACAACTACTACTACTACTACTACTACTACTACAGCCACTACTAGTGCTACTACTATTGCTGCTGTTGCTGCTGCTGCTGCTGCTGCTACTACTACTACTACTACTACTACTGCTAC